GACCATGTGCCGGCACAGCTCCAGGAAGAGAGGTTTCTCAAAGTGGCCCAGGACCCTGTGGGATGGGTGGCAGAAGAGGGATGCGAGTCCAAACAGCCCTTCTCCCTCCAGCTCTGCAAGACCCCTCCCCCCCGCAAACTACCTATACCCCAAAACACTGACCGGACATTCTTGAGCATGTACAGCACCTCAGAGGGCAGGTGGGAGTTAGCCAGGTCACCCTCAGTCAGGTCAGCCTCCAGCACTGCAGGTGGAGGCTCTTTCCGCTGTAGTGTTGGGGTCTCCTTTGGGATGCGCAAAATCCTGGTGGAAAGGTAGGTGAGGATAGGGGAGAGCTCAGGTTGACTCTTAAGATCCCCCAAACCTCCAACACACAAAGCAAACTCCCCACCATCCAAATCAGGCTACTTGGTTTTGTAAATAAAGTTTTATTGGCACATGGCCATGTTCATTCATTTGCATACCACGTAAAGGGGTTCTGGTACTATATCCACACAGTTGACTAGTCAAGACCGAAAATGCATGTGGACTACAAAGCCTAAATTATTTACTATCTAGCCCCTCTACCCCCACATACCCACTTTCCCATTTTTGTAGCAGAGGGTAGGATAAGGGCAGTAGTGGAGTTTGAATTCAAGGCCTGAAGCTTGCTAATACCATTTGAGCCAAACTTCCCAATCCTACCATGTGGCCACTTACAAAATACATTTATTAAAACTTATGATAGTCACTGAATTAAGAAATACTCAGCAGCCAAGCACTGATGGCTCAGGCCTGTACTGTTTTTTGTTGTTGTTGTTGTTTGTTTTTGTTTTTGCCAGTCCTGGGGCTTGAACTCAGGGCCTGAGCACTGCCCCTGAGCTTCTATCACTTGAGCCACCATACCACTGTGGCTTTTTCTGTTTATGTGGCACTGAGAAATCAAACCAAGGGCTTCATACATGCTAGGCAAGCACTCTTCCACTAAGCCACACTCCCAGTCCCTGTACTTTTTTTTTTGTCAGTTGTGGGGCCTGAACTCTGGGCCTGGGCACTGTCCCTCAACTCTTCAGCTCAAGGCTAGTGCTCTACCACTTGAGCCATAGCGCCACTTCCAGGTTTTTCTACTTATGTGGTGCTGAGGAATCGAACCCAGGGCCTCATGCATGCAAGGCAAGCACTCTACCACTGAGCCACCTTCCCAGCCCCCCTGTACATTTTTTTTAAGTAGCTCTTTCCAGCACATTTAGAAAGAAATTAAACAGTGCAAGTAAAGTAAACCTTCTATAAAACAAAATTAAAAAAAAAACACCACAGTAATTTTGGGAACAAAAAAAAGGAAAGAAACATCTAATAATAGGGATGGTTACAGACCATAAGAGCTCAGACCTAATAAATGGATAAATCATGGTATAGATTCATAATGTGATGGCACTTTTGGGAGATGGTGAAAGGTAGAAGACAGGGCTTTAATGGAGGAAATAGTCACTGAAGGCATGTCCTGGGAGACTCAATCTGCCTTAGCTCCTTCTTGTATTCCTCTCTCTACCACGAAGGGAACGGCTCTGCTCTGCCAAGCCCTCCCTTCCTACCACAAAAGATGGACACCTCTTGAAAGTGTGTGTTAAAATAAATCCTTCCCTCCTTAGGTTGTGTGTTAGGTACTTGGTCACAAGGATGATAAAAGGTAACTGAGAGGGCTGGGAAGGTGGCTCAGTGGTAGAGCGCTTGCCTTGTATACATGAGGCCCTGGGTTCAATTCCTCAGCACCACATAAGCAGAAAAAGCTGGAAGTGGCTCTGTGGCTCAAGTGGTAGGGTGGTCACATTGAGCTGAAGAACTGAGGGACAGTGCTCAGGCCCAGAGTTCAGGCCCCACAACAGGCAAATAATAATAATAAAAAGTAACTAAGAAAGCAAGTCCTGAGGCTGGCACTCCACCAGTCATCCTAAATCTAGTAAACAGATGTTCTGGCTGTAATGACACACCCCAACATTAGTTCCAAGGTATGGGCAGACCCCAGAAAGTGCATTTTAGTCATGGGAGCCTCAGTCCCAGACTAAGTTCCTCAGATAGACTCTCTCTGACTTTGGCATGTCTTGGAAGTTGTTCTTGTTCTATGTGAACATCTCCAGATACAGGCTGCAGGCTATCTTTATAAAGATGCCTTAATTTAAAAAAAAAAAAAAAAAGCCAGGTGCTGGTGGCTCATATCTGTAATCCTACTCAGGAGGCTAAGATCTGGGGTTTGAAATCAGCCAGTCAGACATAAAAGTCCAAGAGACTCTTATCTCTAATAAACCAGGAAAAAGTTTGAAGTCGAAGTGTGGTAAGATGCCAGCTCTGCGTGAAAAAGCTCAGGTCCACCATCAGGTCCTGAATTCAAGCTCTAATACACACACACACACACACACACACACACACACAATCATCCTGTGGTACAGAAATGAGAGTCCTTAAAAGAGACAGAGACCCCAGAAGAGCCATATTTGGTATCAGAAAGATCTGATATAGCTCCTCAGAGAAAAGAAAGTCTTGAGATGCCCCTCTGATAGGAAAGACTTCCAGCCCATGGGCTCAGAGCACCCCCAAGTTATGATTCTGCGCCCTAGTCCCATCCCAATACCAGAATCACCAGATACCAGCCTTACTTCTTGGCAATGTTGAGCATTTTAAGTTTCTTCTTCATTCGTGGCCTGGAAGTGGTGGAGACGGAGGAGTCTACCAGGGAGGAAGTGGACTGTGACACCTAGGAGATTTAAGGGGTGGAGCGGGGAATCAATAAGGAGAGAAAGGGGAGCCCTGTAATCAATAAAAGGGGGAGAGGGAAGTGTCCACCAAAGAGATGTAAATCAGGAAGGGCAGGGCCGGCGTGGTGAGCGCTGAACACAGGAGGTCCCACACTCACCTTCCGCATAATTTTCCGGCCATAGAAAAGCACTTTGTCCCTCTTCCGGAACCGGTACCGGGGCCCCTCCGGGGCTGGGGTTTCTAGGGGACGGGAGAGGGGAGCGAGGAGGGATACTGAGTTCCAGCAGATGTTCAGCCCTCAGCCTCCTCCCCTCCACCGGGGCCCCTCCGGGTCCTCACTCTGCACTCGCAGCCTCCGCACCACCAGGAGGATGAGCACCGCGGTGACCACCACAGCCACGCCGGCCCCGATCATCACGCCCAGCACCTGCGGGATGAACGGCACCGGATGCCCGCCGCAGGTCTGTCCCGCCGAACCCTCCTCGAGGGCCGGGACGTCCTGGGCCTCAGCCCCCGAGGAGGTCATAATCAGCCCAGGACTCGGTGTCCCCATCTGCTGAATGGGCCAGTGCGGCTTCCTCCTCTACCTCCACCTCCACCACCTCCTCCTCCTCCTCCTCCTCCTCCTCCTTCTCCTCCCCGGGGGGGAGGGGGGGACGCCACTCTTTCCCCACCCCCGACGGCTTGGGCCGCCCGTGGTGCGCGCCGGGAAACGTAGTTCCGTGAGAGCGTGCGAGAGCGCAGAGCACGCCGGGAATTGTAGTCCCAAGCATCATTGGTCCTTACCATTCCGGTTTGCAGCGGGGCCTCCATTGGTTGCCTCAGGCTGGGTAGCAGGTCGGAGAGCCCGCAGTCCTGGCAAGCAGGTTGCAGAAGGAAGCAGCACCAAGACGTCATTCAGGGAGGGCCTGCTCGACCCCGGCCTCGCCCCTCACCCAAGTCCCGCCTCCAACCACAAGCCCCGCCCCCTGGGTACCTTTGGCCCCGCGGGCTTCTCCATCGGCCAGCGGTGGGGTGGGGTGGGGTGGGGTGGGGTGGGGCGGGGTGGCAGCCGCTAGAGGGGCGCTGTGGAACAGATGGATGGGATGTAGACCTTCTGGCCCGGACCTGGGGGTTAGGAGAGTCCCCTGATCCCAGACATTTCCCCTCTCGCTCTCTCCAGACTCCCTTTCCCTTCCTCCCAGGCCGGGGTCAAAGGGAAGCCGTCGAGGCGATCAAAGTCAGCTGCTCGCGGGCGGGTTCTCCCAGGACCCGGCTCCTTCCGGCCAGGGGTCCCCTCCCGGGCCTCTGTCCCCTTTCACCCCTAAGCTTTGCCCTCCTACTCTCTGCCAAAAACTGGAATGTTCCGCTCCGGGAAAAGTGGGGACCCCGTGATTTGCTGGACAACTGGCTCCTGACCCAAGCCCGGCCCCTGGGAGCTGGGACGCGCGGGGTACCGCCCGGGGATCCCTTGGAAGGGGTCATGGGACCCTTGGGGTGAGGTGAACCCGCAAGGTGCTAACTGGATAATTTACTACCGCGCAGTAGTAGAGTTCCGGGGTCCCCGGCAGGGCTGGGCATCACCGGGCCTCGGTAACGACGACGCGGGCGCAGTTAAACCGAGAGGCGTAACCAGGGACGCGGGGATTACAGGTGGGCGCTGGAAAGTTACCGACAGATCCTGAACTCGAGACCAGCAAGGAGGAAACCTGAGGCTGGCCGGGCACATTGCTGGGGTCTGGGGAGGGCCTGGGGGAGGGTGTCGCTAAAGATATCTCTGGATATTAATGGGAGTGAAACGCAATCACTCGGCCCTGAGACATAGTTACCTGGAATATTCCTGAGGTGACTACTTCCCTTCCTCTCCACGGTGCACCTGGCTACCGTTGCGGAAACACCGGCAAGAAACAGGGGTAGGGGTGGGGGGATGGGGGCATCAGAAAGTCGGGACCTACCGGGAATCAGAGCACAGATCTGGGGGCAAGTTGAAGCTGGCTAACGAGCCCCGGAGGGGCGCCCCCACCGGGCCGATGGAAACTCAAGACTCACCCAGGGACTGCAGCCAGGGTCCTCCCTGCGCCAACACCGCTAGCTTTGCTTTCCACCCGGCGCTGCGGACTCGGCCCCTTTAAATTATTCACGGCCGGGCGGCGCGCCCCGGCCCCGCCCCGCCCCGCGCGCCTGCGCGCACGGAAGGTCGCCGCGGGCCCGCCGAGCCGAGAGTGGCGGACACTTAAAGGGGCCGAGTTAGAAAAAGAGAGCGCTCCGAGTTTATGTTCCCATTTATTTATTTCCCTCCCCTCCCTAGTGTCCGTCCGGATCAGCCCCAGCGCTCTCGGGGCGGGGGGCAGCGAGCTGATCCTTAAAAGCAAATTCTTGAAAATAAATAAGCTGGGGGCTCCCAGCAGTCCGCAGGATAAGGTCCATAGCCGTCCTCAATTCACAAGCAGCGAGTGGTCCTCCGGGGCGTCCCTGGACGAGGGGTGCGGGGGAAGGCCGTCAGTGCTCTCCGGTCGCCTCGCCACCCGCCCCCTCCATCCACACCTTAACCCCAGGGCTTCCCCCCCCAGCCCGATCTCGGGTCGAACCTTGCGCAGCAGCAGAGCAGGCTGCAGGCCGAGCCGCTCCCGCGGCGGAACTTGCCAGAGGTGGGGCTGTCCTGGCACTGTGCAATGTAGGCCTGGAGCTCGCTCTTCTCTGCGCCTGCGCCAGGGTGCTGGGGAGACACGCACAGGGTCCCTCGACGTGAACGAGGTCTGCCATGCTGCCCCCCTTCCTCCAGCCATGTGGATCTACCCGTCCCTCTCTCCCTCCTTCCCTCTGATGGCAGGAGGGCTCTCCCCACGGTGTTCCCACTATGCCTTCCACACGTTCTCCATCTTGCCCAGAAAGACCCCACAATGCATGCCACATCTTGGGACAGTTTGATGCCCTCTGAAGTAGGCCCAGCACCCATGGTGGGGCTTGTCAGAGCCTGGGTTGGTACAGGTATCGGGCACTTGTGAGAACAAGGCCCAAATTTATGCAAAGATGCTCTGTGTGTGTGTTGTCTTAAGTGTTCAGTAAGACAAGAGGTGGTTCCTAGGGCCTGAGTGACAGAAAGGCATTGTGAGTAGTACCCCTTAACCTCCCTTAGCAACTACCATCATTACTCTAAATCTGTTCTATACAGCTTTTGTTTTCGTTGTTCCCTCCCCCATATGCACTCTCCCTTGGACACTGTTCTCATCTGTCTAGAATCTTCCAAGATAATGAGAATGTTCAATTATCTAACAGGTCTAAATGAATTAGCCACTAGCCAGCCACATAGGCTTTTGGGCATTTGATGTGTGTGTTCCGTTTTTGTTTTGGGCCTTTTCAGACAGTCTCACTATGCTAGGCAGGCTGGCCTGGAATTCTCCAAAATTCGTCCTGCCTCAGTTTCCCAAGTGCTAGCATTACAAGCATATTCCACCATGCTTGGCTAAGGCGCTTAAGACATGGATCGATCCTCTAAATGTAGAACTGAATTTGGAATTTCAATTCAAATCAAAATTTAAGTAATCATATGGCTAGGGAGCTAGTCATAGAACATTCTGGAAGCCTTCCTGGAACCACCTTAATACCAGTCTTTAGCAGAGTCCTCTGTAACCTTCCACACTTCTTTCATACCTCTCGCCAGCTGACCACTAATCATCCCTTCACATGCCCTCCGTACTCCCTGGAACCTATTTGGCTGGAAGAATTTTGTCTTCCCCTGCTCTGCATCTCCCTGACATGCTGGTGTCTCTCCTCTGACTGCTACAGCTTGCTGGAAAACCATGGTTCCTGGCCACTCCGTGAGACAGGGAGATTAAGAACCTGGCTTTTGGAATCACAAGGTCTTGGGTTGAGCCTGACAATCCATTCAGCCATTAACAGTGGCCAAAGTTCCTCAAACTCTGAAATCAGTTTCCCTGGAGGGTAAAAGCAACCTCTGGAACCTTCCTGGGGTAGGCCCCACCTTGACAATGTTGGGACGGAATTAGCCATCTCTGTGCCCCATCCCCATGCCAAGGCACCCTCTCTGTGGGCTTTCTATTCAGTGGCTGGCAGCCCCAGGAGCAGGATGTGCGTGTGAGTGGGAGGCATGTGCATGCCAGGAGGTCCCTGTGGGCCCAGCAGGTGCCGCTGACCTTAATGGTGTCATAGGCCCCGGTGATGAGCGCAATGAAGAGGCTGAGCACCATGTAGATGAAGAGGCTGATAAAGGAGTAGAGGTAGAGCTGGGAAAAGAGCCACACCAGGCTGCTGCGGCCCTGCTGAGCCTGCATGGCGGCGAATGTTACGAACATGTCATCCCCGTTGATGAGCGAGAACAGGCACTCGGACACCATGGACAGCGAGCGGAACTGTGGGCAGGAAGGTGAGGTGCAGTCAGCCTGGGTCACAGAGGTCAGTGGGCTCAGTGCCAGCAGTCAAGATGGGCCTATCTCAATGTCAGTGGATCAACAACAAAGCCACGAAGCCACAGGTCACACAGGGTGCCCGGTGGCTCACACCTATAATCCTACTCAGGAGGCTGAGATCTGAGGTTCTGCCAGCCTAGGCAGGAAGGTCAATGAGACCCTTTTCTCAATTAACTAGCAAAAAGATGCAAGTGGGGCAGTGACTCAAGTTGAAAAGCATTAGCCTTGAGCACAAAAGCTCAGGGTCAGCATTAGCTTTGAGTTCAAGCCCCAAAACCAACACACACACACACACACCACAGAGTCAATGTAAAGGCCACTTGGGATCATAAAAGATGCACAACAAGACTGTTGTAGTCCTGGTCAGCTGGGGGTGGGGGATGGGGTAGAGGGCGTGTTATAGGGGTCTGTGTACGCGGTGACAGCATATAAGATGGGCCCTGGGCTAGGAATGCAGCATGCATGGAGCCCAGGGTTCGATTCCTTAGTACCACATACACAGAAAAAGCCTGGTAGGAAAAAAAAGAAAAGATGAGCCCATCTGAATGTCAGTGTGTCAGTGACAAAACCAGGGGTCCAGGTGGGTCATGCAATGTCATTATATCAACAACCAGTGCTCAGAGGGCTCGGGGGAGGGGCCGGGACCCCTGGATGGACACTCAGAGCCACACTTACCTTCACGTGGTAGGGCCCCAGCACGATCCAGCCGCAGAAGCAGTAGCCAAGGTAGATAACAGCCACACAGCAGCAGAAACGCATGACGCTGGGCAGTGCCACCCGCAGTGTAGCAATGAGAATCTGCAGGAGGATGAAAGGGCTAAGGGGGGGGGGCCACATGAAGTGATGGCCATGACCCAGCCAGCTGTTAGGTGAGGGCAGGAAAGTAGGTTGAGACTCATGGGGCAGAAGCTGGGGAGGGCTTGGAGAAGGGGCGGGGCCATCAGGGGGAGGGGCTGAGGACTGCCACAGGTGGACCCAACATGCACCAGTGCCCCTTCCCAAGTTCAGGGACAGGGGTGAGTGTGTGTGTATGTGTCCCAGCATGCACTAGTGCTCCTTCCCAAGTTCAGGGACAGGGATGTAGGGGTGTGTGTGTGTTGGGGCCAAAGTAAGAAGCCTGGGTAACAGAACTACATGTCCTGTATTACTATCTACAGTTTTATTTGGGGAGCCAGGACAGGTCACCCGGAGAACCTGCCACATCCCTGCGTCAGCCAACTCAGGTGTGAGGCTCACGTTGTACTTGTGGAAGAAAGTCAGGTAGCGGATGACACCGACCCAGACTAGCAGCGTGGAGGTGCCCAGAAGAATGCTACACACATCGTAGCTTGCCAGGTTCTGGGGATACAGAGGAAGGTGTCAATCCACTGGATCAGAATGTGGAGATAAGGTGGCGTGGGCCCTGGAGCTGGACCCACCTTGGCCTCGATGCCAATCTTCATGATAGTGCCAGAGACAGTGAGCACATCACTGGTGACCAGTAAGATGTACCAGCCATTGACGAACTCCAGCCGCTCCCACAGGCTGATCTCCCGTCCCCGCTGCCGCCACATGAACCTCACAAACTCCTGCACGAGGAAGCTGGGTGAGGGTCTACCAGGGCCCATCCCAGAAGCCCCTGGCCTTCGCACCGCCCCCTCTAGGCTGGGCAAGACAGGCACTGGCGCTTGTGATGCTGGGGCCTCACATTCTGCAGCAGGAAGCCACGCAGCAGCGAGCGGGCGCACAGCAGGAAGGACAGCGAGCAAGTGAGGATGACCACGACGTCAAACAGGAGCTGGAAGCTGTTGTCACCTGCAGGTGGCACAGCATCATGGGAAACCTTGGCTGGGGTCAGGCCAGGGCTGCAGATCTGGGGGCTGCATGGCTGGGTTGTTGGGGTTTCACTGTTTTGGGTTTTGTTTTTCTATGCTAATCCTGGTACTGGAACTCAGGGCCAGGGTGCTGTCCTTCAGCTTTTGTATTCAAGGCTGGCACTCTGCCACTTGAGCCATAGCACCACTTACAGTTTTTGGTAGTTAACTGGACATAAGAGGCTCTTGGACTTTTCTGCTTCAGCTGGTTTCGAACCATGATCCTTAGACCTTAGCTTCCTGAGTAGCTAGGATTACAGGCAGGAGCCACTGGTACCTGCTACATGGCTGGTTTTAACTAGCCAATGTGCTTCAGACATTGGGTCAACCGGGAAAAGGGGGCTCACCATGACTGGAGACACTGGGGTGCTTGCATTCCTGGATGTGGGCCTGGGTCTCTAGCCGGATGGGGATGCGTCCACTGTGAGCCTTGTTGTCAAACGTGATCTATAGGGCAGGGATCAGGGAGAGGCAGGGTAAGCCTGGGTAACCCAAGCTCCCTGAGACCCACAGGCCAGATGCTTCCACTAGCCCTGGCCTCTCCTCTTCTCCCCATGGCCTTAAGCCAATGATCCAGAGACCCTGAGCAGGCAAGACGGCAGCCAGAGGCCCAGCAGCGCCCTCACCAGGACACTGAAGGTGTAGCAGTCGGGGATCTCATTATTAATGAGGCTCTGCAGGTTGATGGTCTTCAGCTGGAAGTAGATGGTGACGTTGATCAGCCTAGGGAAGGAGCTGAGGTGAGGCCCACGGGCCTAGCTAGCCCCTCTGAGCCTGGCACCAGTGCCCCCACCTACGTCCACTCTGCAGCTAGCAGAGGAACCTCTCACCAGGCTCTGGTGAAAGCAAGGGCAGCCCTGCCCAGGCTGCTCCCAGCCCATAGGAAGTGGCTGCAGGCCCACAATGTCCGGCATCCCTCCACCTCCATCCCCACCCCCGGCCTAGACCTTGAGCCCTCGTGCAAGCAAGCCCGTGGGCAGTACTTGTGGAATTTGAGCGTGAGGTTCCTGTAACTGGAGCTGACGTCCAAGAGGGCCACATCGTCACTGGGGGCATCAGGGGGTCTCTCAGGGGGATCCACCTGGATGCAGTCTGAGGACAGGCAGTCAGGGAAGGCCCTCAGGGAGCAGGGAGGCCCAGGCTGGTCTCCATCCCAGCATCCCCAAGCGCCTTCTTTTTCTTTTTAAGCCAGTCTTGGGCCTGAACGGTCCTGGCCTGGATGCTGCCCTTGACCTTTTTTGTTTTTGCTCAAGGCTAGCACTCTACCACTTTGAGCCACTTCTAGTTTTTTCTGATGGTTAACTCAGCCTCCTGAGTAGCTAGGATGACAGGCATGAGCCACCATGGGCAGCTGGGGCCTTCTTTTGTGAAGTACTAGTGATTTAGCCCTGGGCCTGGGAAGCTGGGCATATCCTCTGCCACAGGGCTACAGTCATGGTCTGCCTTATTCTCAAGAGAGATCCAAGGACCTGGCACTTGATTGGTCCCTAAAAAGTTTAGTGGATGAGGGGCTGGGAAGTTGGCTCAGTGGTAGAGTGCTTGCCTCGTATGCATGAGGCCCTGGGTTCAATTCTTTAGCACCACATAAGCAGAAAAAGCTGGAAGTGGTGCTGTGGCTCAAGTGGTAGAGCACTAGCCTTGAGCTGAAGAGCTGAGGGATAGCGCCCAGGCCCAGACTTCAAGCCCCACAACTGACCAAAAAAAAAAGTTTAGTGAATGAATGCTTAAGTCATGCCAGGTTCTTTCTGTATGTCATACATTCCATTATGGGCATTTCATGTGTTAAATTAGTTACAGTCACGTCTATACCATCTCCCAGGAGAGCAAGGGAAGGATCAGGACACTGTGACTTTTTTTGTCGGTTATGGGGCTTGAACTGTGGGCTTGGGTGCTGTCCCTGTGCTCTTCAGCTCAAGGCCAGCGCTCTAGGGCTTGAGCCACAGCGCCACTTCCAGTTTTCTGGTGATTCATTGGAGATAAAAGTCTCATTGACTTTCCTGCCCAGGCTGGCTTTGAACTGGGATCCTAAGATCTCAGCCTCCTGAATTATGATTACAGGCGTGAGCCACTGGTGCCTGGCTTTGTTGTGACTTTAGTGGACCACAGGACCTCACCCAAACTAAGGAACATCCTACCACCAAGCTACACCCCAACCCCTGTATCAGGATTCAAATCCCAGCAGTCAAATGCTCCCACCAGCGTGCGCCGCCCTGCCCACTCACCAGTGACCACCATTGGGTCAATGTCAAAGGTATCGTTGGCAGGATCCACGTGGCCACGGTGGTAATATCGTTGGCACAGAGCCAGCGCTGAGCCATTGGTCCCGGGGCCACCCCCATCCCGGACATAGGCATACCTGCCCAGTGACACCTCGGGCAGCATCAGGTACTGTGAGCAGAGAAGGGGAAGGGCTGTCAGTCCCACCTGCTCTTGGACATGAGACCACCTCCTGCCCCTGGCCACTGTACCTGGTCCACCGCATGGAAGATGGCCTGGTAGAGCTGCTCCCGCGTATATGCCGCGAAGGTGTCGTCCACCCCATCTGAGTAGCCGAGCAGGAAGAGATGTCGGAAAGCAATGGTGTTCTCTTCCCTGAATGTCACCACCAGCTGGTTACTGAGCCCAAACAGGATGAGCTGGGGAGGGGGCGGGCAGAGAAGGCTGGCCATGATGGACAGCTCCCTCTGGGCCTGGTCCATCTTTTGAGCTAGATTTGAAGAATATTGTTCTTTCCTGTTCCCCCCCTCCCTCCATCTAAGCTGCATGTCCCATTCATTGCCATGACCCCTGTGCGCACCCCAGTACAGGAACTTGTATATCTCATGGGGCATACACGCGCAGATGGCACACTGGCTTTTCTGTCAAACACAAATGTCCAAGGGACCACCTGTGATTGGATCTCCTGACTGCTGGGGAAGGAGAGCACACAGGCCTAAAGTCATAGACTTAGAGGAGCAGCAGGAATTTAGGGATTGGTTTGTTTGTTTGTTTGTTTTGTCAGTTGTGGGGCTTGAACTCTGGGCCTGGGCACTGTCCCTCTTCGGCTCAAGGCTAGTGCTCTGCCACTTGAGCCACAGCGCCACTTCCAGCTTTTTCTGCTTAAGTGGTGCTGAGGAATCGAACCCAGGGCCTCATGCATGTGAGGCAAGCACTCTACCACTGAGCTACCTTCCCAGCCCAAATTTAGGGACCGATGTGTAATTTATAATGGGGTCCTCATTGCTCAGCACAGCCTGGTATGGGGGAGAGCATCGGGCTCAACTACTACTGTCAATTCTCTTTGAGATCTACAGGGCACCGGATGGTCTAGATTCAAATCCCACCTCCCAGTCAGAGCTTGGTGCTGCACTGGGACAAGCCCAGCGCTGTTTGGAGATGGCTGGTTGGCGGGTCTTACCTGGACAGTGACCACTAGGATCTTCACCACCTGTAGCACCAGCTTGCATGGCTTACGGCCCTTGGCCCGGAACTTGTCACAGGGACTCATGAAAAAGTACTTGAGCCGGCGACGGAGGTCTTCCTCTTCTGGGGAGGTGGAAGGGACTGGGGAAGCCCCCACATGAGTTCCATACCCAGGATTGGGTGTCAAGAGCCGCTCTGTCTCTAAGGCAACAGGAAAGGGCAGTGAGGATGAGGCCAGGGCAGCTCTGTGACAGGTGCAGCCCAAGGCCTGAGAGCACCTTTTGCGTCCTTCCCCAACAAGACACCTGCCCCCCACCCAAGCTCATGCCAAGGAAGAACTCTGAAAGGTTTAAGAAAAACTAAATCCTGTGCTGGTGGCTTATGCCTGTAATCCTAGCTACTTGAGAGGCTGAAATCTGAGGATCACTGTTCAAAGCCAGCCTGGGCAGGAAAGTCCGTGAGACTCTTATCTCCAATAAGCTACCAGGAAATTGGAAGCAGCGCTGTGGCTCAAAGTGGTAGAGTGCTAGACTTGAGCAGAAGAGCTCAGGGCCAATGTCCAGGTCCTGAGTTCAAGCTCCATGACCAACCCAAAAAACACAAAAAAGAAAACAGAAAAGGAAAAACCAAGCCAGGCATGGTAGGGCAAACCTGCAACCACTCAGAATGTGAAGCAGGAGGATTAACAGTTAAAAGCCAGCCTGGAGGGCTAGGAATATGGCTTAGTGGTAGAATGCTTGCCTAGTATGCATGAAGCCCTGGGTCTGATTCCTTAGTACCACATAACAGAAAAAGCCAGAAGTGGCACTGTGACTCAAGTGGTAGTATGCTAGCCTTGAGCAAAAGAAGCTCAGGGTCAGTGCCTAAGCCCTGAGTTCAAGCCTCAGGACTGGCAAAAAAAAAGCCAGCCTAGAGTATGGAGGGGGGGGAGGGAGGGAGGGAGAGAGAGAGAGGGAGAGAGACAGAGAGAGAGAGAGAGAGAAGGAGGAGAAGGAGGGAGAAAAGCCAGGCACTAGTGGCTCACATCTACAAATCCAAGCTACTTGGGAAGCTAAAATCTGGAGAACTGAGGTTTGAGACCAACCTGGAAATAAGCCTGAGACCCCCTTTCAATCAGTACCTAAGCAAAGTGGTACATGCCTGTATCCCAGCTATGATGGGAAATTAAAAATAGGAGGATTAAGGCCCAGGAACATGCTCAGACAGGAAGCAAAATGCTGTCTAAAAAAAAAAAGTATGTCTCTATGGGATTGTAACCTTTTGTACCACTTAACAATAATAATTTGAAAAAGACATGTTTCAGCTGGGCACTGGTGGCTCAAGCCTATAATCCTACCTACTCAGGAGGCTGAGATCTGAGGATCGTGATTTGAAGCCAGCCAGGCAGAAAAGGCCATGCGACTCTTATCTCCAATAAACCACCACAAAACCAGAAGTGGTGCTGTGGCTCAAAGTAGTAGAACACTAGCCTTGAGCTGAAGCTCAGAGACTGTGCCCAAACCCTGAGTTCAAGCCCCAGGACTGACCAAAAACCAAACCAAAACAGTAGATCCACAACCTATCCAAGTATAGGCCTTGAGTTCAAACCCAGTACTACACATGTGTCTGTGAATATACCTACTTTTTTTTTGAGAGGTCAAATCAGGAGTCTATAGAAGAAATCCAGCAACTGCTGTTGGACACTTGTCCCCTGAAAACTTTCAGCCTTGAATACACTTAACACTGTTAGAAAACTGACCCATGAGAGTAATAAAGCAAAGAAAGAGCAGAAAAACAATACCAACAAACCAGATCAACTCCAATGGAGAGCTAAAGTGGAATGCCATGGTAACCAGAGGAGAGCTAGGAGACAGGAGGCGTGGCATTGGATACGCATGCTTAACATGCACAAGGCCCTGGGTTTGATCTTCAGTATCACAAATAAAGGTTTTATTTTTTACATCTGGGACTTTAGGTCAAGATTTGGTCACTGTCCCTTAGCTTTTTCACCCAAGGCTGGTATTCTATAACTTGAGCCACAACTCCACTTCTGCCTTTTTTGGTGTTTAACTGGAGTTATGAAAGCTCATGGACTTTCCTGTCTGGGCTGGTTTTGAACTATGATCCTCAGGTCTCAACCTCCTGAGTAGCTAGGATCACAAATGTGAACCACCCCAGTTCCCAACTGTCTTTATCTTCTTTTTTGTATTTCCAGTGGTGGGGATTGAACTCAGGGCCTGGGAGCTGTCCCTAAGTTTTTTTCCCCTCAAAGCTAGTGCTCTACCACTCTTAGCCACAGCTCTACTCCTGGTTTTCTGGTGATGAATTAAGAGATAAAGAGTCCAAACAACAATGGGTTCAAACCACAATCCTCAGATCTCAGCCTCCACAGTAGCTAGGATTACAGGTTTGAGCCACTGGCGCTTGTTCTGTCTTTATCTTCTCTATATCCACAAGTTGCTGAAAACTACACAGCCTTAGGGTGAAGTCCTGACTCAAGGCATTTCCCTCGCTCCCTAACTAAAAAGTAAGAGTTAAGTCAAATGGAAAGACAAAGGGTGAACAAATGCAGAAATGGTACTCACTATGTTGAAAATGAACTATACAACTTGTCTATGAGCAAGTTGCCAGGGCCTCTGAGGACCCTTGTCTCAACTCAGGACAAACCCTGAGTCTCCATTTTAAAGCAGAAATATAAACACTATCCCAAGATGAAAGAATTGTACATGTTCCCAACACTCAAAGAAATGATCAATGTTTGAGCTGATGGATATGCCAGTTACCTTATAACATTACACATTGTATGTATAGAAGAGCCAACCTGTACTCCATAAACATGTAAAATCCCTGTATCAATGAGAAATAAAAACTATTTTTGAAAGTTACACAAGCCAGGAGCTGGGGGCTCATGCCTGTAATCCTAGCTACTCAGGAGGCTGAGATCTGAGGATCCCAGTTCAAAGCCAGCCTGGGCAGGCAAGTCCATAAGACTCTGATCTCCAATCAACCACCAAAAAACTGAAAGCGGCACAGTGGCTCAAGTCCCATGACCAACAAAAAAAAAAAAGAAATGTACTCTTTGGGCTGGGAATGTAGCTGAATTGTAGAGTGCTTGCCTAACATGCATGAAGCCCTGGGTTCGATTCCTCAGTACCACATACACAGAAAAAGCTGGGAAGTGGTGCCGTGACTCAAGTGGTAGAGTGCTAGCCTTGAGCAAAAGACGCTCAGGGACAGTGACCAGGCCCAGAGTTCAAGCCCCAGGACTAACCAAAAAAAAAAAAAGGAAAAGAAAGAAAAGAAATATACCCTTGCTGTGGACCACATTATTAGAGTAACTTCAGAGAACAGAAAGGTTCACCATGCCAATCACTAGTTCATCTGAGCCTAAGCAGAGGAGCCAAGACTTCAGCCACAGATGGGATCACAGCCATCACAGCCAGCAATGGCAACCCAGAACTGTCCCAAGACCCCACCATCTCCACTTCACTAAGAGAACCCTGCTTTTTCCCCTTCTTTCCTTCTTGGATGGCTATCAACTGTGGGAGGGGGAGGGTGCTGAGGATGAAATTAGGACCTTGTACAAACTGGCCAAGCACTCTACCACGGTGCCACACCCCTAATCCAAAAAAACCTTCCTGGGTTAATTATGGGCGCTGTGGTTTCCACGCCAGGCTCCTCCCTTTGGATGCTCTTGTTTACAAACCCGAACGAAGGGAAGGAAGAAGATAGGCTCAACCTCCTTTCCTACCTAGGGTCAAATGGGGCTCATCCCAAACTCCCACCAGCCAGGGACACCTAGGAGGCATCTCCAGCCAACTCCCAAGGCACCATTAACCCATCAGATATTCCTTCAGATTTCTGGGGAAGAGAGCTGGTTAGCTGGGGTGAAGTCATTCCACGACTCCAGCTAACAGAGAGGAACTCAAAAATGGCTGGAAACTGGGCACCCATAATCTTGAGTTTTAGGAACGAGGAGATTCCACGCTGGGTTCAAGTAATCGGGAGCTGCTCGCCAGTGAACTTTAGAGATGCTGAGTCGCTGGTTTCAGAAAGGAAATCCCGAGTGGGGCTCACGTGCGGGTTTACAGAAGCTGGAGCCCGCTGCCCGAGTTCCAGCCCAGTTGAGCAATCCGAACTCACTCAGGCTCCGAATGCGGCCCGAGAAGCAGAGGAACAGCCCCGCCTGCGGCGCCGGACTGGAGGCTCCGCGGGCAGGGCCCGAGTTCGGGAGTCCCGCCGCCTGAGGTCCTGCCCCACCCGTGTCCCTACCGCCGGGGCAGCGGCGATGTCCGCACTGGACTGGGGGAACAGAGCGGATGGAGAGGCTGGCCGTCCCCGCCCCAGCCCCGCGCCGCCCGCGTTCGGCCCCCGCCGTGTTCCCCCGCGCCCTCACCTGATCCACGCCGGCCCATCGAGGCCGCCATGGCGCCGCCGCGCGGGGAAGCGGACGGGCGGGGAGGGCGCGGCGGCGCAGCCGGGGTCCGAGCCCCCGCCGCTGTCAACCGCGGGCCTCGTTCCCTCGGCCTCGCCGCGCCGCTTCAAAACCCGGCCCTGTCAGCTGACCCGAGCCGCGGTCACGTGAGCGGAGAACTCGCTGGACGTCACCACGTGAGTCGCTCTGACCCCGCCCACTGCGCCAGCGATGGTTTTTTTTCTTCTCCCTTCCCGGGGCAGTGCGCATGCGTGGCCCGGCCAGCGGTTCCGGCGACCGGACGCGGTCGCGTGGTCCTAGTGCCGACTCGGGCGCAGAATTTGGCTGGCTCGAAGCGCTAGCAGCGACTAGCTCTGCCCCCTCCCCCGCACCCCCCTCCCGACTCTCCATCAGGCCCCTTGTTCCTTGCCAACCTCGTGATTCCAGTGTCTAGGGCTTGATCTTTTACCCTCTGCGGCGTCCGCTCTCAGTGCTGCCCTCCTTCCCAGAAAATCCTCTATGCCTTGCATTCAGCAAACCCTATTTCCTAAGCCAAATAGGGCCGCACCCCCAAGCTTCCTAGCCTGGACCTAGCCTTCGTAGCCTCTCCCTTTGATCTATCCATTCCTCAGGCAGCCAAAAACCCTTGGAAGAAAAAACAAAAACTATATATATATATATATATATATATATATATATATAATATGTAATATTTAATATATAATATATATATTTAATATAAATATATATATCCACCATCCAAACCTGCTCATGGCGTCACTAGCAAACTTCTCACCTCTTGTATAACCCAAACCTAATGTGGTCATCACTCAGTGACCCCAGGACCTTTGCATACTCTTGCTCTGGAATACAGGCTCTCCAGAGAAAACACAGGCACTGTCATTCATTACGTCTATATTTTCTAGGGTCTATAGTTCAGACACGGTGTTCCTGTTTCTTCATTTTCAAGGGACCTGTCTCCTGGTAGAAGTTTTCTGGGTTTTTTTGTTTGTTTGGGTTTTTTTTTATTTTGGTCAGTCGTGGGGCCTGAACTCTAGTCCTGGGTGCTGTCCCTCAGCTCTTCAGCTCAAAGCTAGTACTTTACCAATTGAGCCACAGTGCTACTTTGGGCATTTTCCGCTTGTGTGATGCTGAGGAATCGAACCCAGGGCCTCATGTATGCAAGGCAAGCACTCTACCACTGAGCCACCGTCCCAGCCCTCCTGGTAGAAGTTTAAATGAGAATATGCTGGACCATCACATAAGCTGGGATTATTAAATTCATGGTACTAGGATTGTAAAACCCTTCCTCAAAAGCCATGCTACTGGGAAGATTGAGAGGTTTGGAATGTAGTGAGATTCTGTCTCTAAACAAGCAAACCCAGCCAGTGCCAATGGCTCATGCCTGTAATCCCAGCCACTCTGGATGCTGAGATCTGAGGATCATGGTCTCAAGGGCCAGCCCTGGAGGAAAATCAATGAGACTGTAATCTCTAATTAACTGGCAAAAAGCAGACAGCAGAGCTATGGCTCAAGCGATAGAGCCATAGTCTTGAGCCAAAAAAAAAAAATATGCAGGGACAATGCCTAGGCTCTGACTTAGTACTGGTGCACACGCAAGCACACACACACCCCCCCATACACACACACACACACACACACACACAGGAATCCACTATTAGCCTCTACTATCAGTCTTCTAGAGTATCCACATGCCAGAAATTCCAACCATGAAGAAAAAGCCAGAAAGATGTTTTTAGTCAGCTGCAGACCCAGCCTCCTGCAGACTGGAGTGGCCAGAAGTGGGGGAGTGGTACCATTGGTTTGGAGCAAAGCTTTGTAAGGAAGTTAGGAAGCCCAGAGGGTGGGGCTCCAGAGGTCCAGTGGGCCCTAGCCACACCTCGCTATCTCTGGAAGCTGCATGGGGCATCCCAGGAGAAAGAAAGCACTCAAGGCCAATCACAACACAGAACCAGGAGGCAGTGGAAGAATTTTACTAAGTGCACAACAGACAACCTTCCCCAGGACACCATGATGCCACGTCCCCTTCAACCATCGGGTGCCAGCAGTGCCCCCTGCTCCTTTACCCACTCTGGGCCCTCACTGGCAGGGAGGGCTGGGCCGGCAGTGTCATGGGTGGGAGAGCAGAGGTCAAGGTTGGGGTCAGGATCAGAATCAGGTCTGGGATCAGACTGGTGATCAGGGCTGGGCACAACATCGGGATCAACATTGTGACCAAGCTTAGGGTCAGAAGACTCAGCAGGATCTGGGCTGGGGGTAGATGGAGAGCCAGAGAGGGCTTGGGAGCTGGGATTGGGGAAAGGATCCAGCGCGGCGGCAGGATCAGAGGTGGTGCGGGTGGAGCTGGACCCAGAGCTGAGGTCTAGGCCTGAGTGGAGCACTGAGACATCATCAGGACCTAGGAAGGAGACCTGTCCGGGTCTCATCATGGATGCAGGACTCAAGCCAGGCCCCAGGCCTAGCCCGGCTGCAGTGGCAGCCGCCGCAGCCGCAGCGGCCGCCCCTTCGTGGACCCGCTTGTGCTTGGTGAGGCTGGAGGCTTGGCCGAACGCTTTGCCACAAAGCTGACAGCGATAGGGGCGCTCTCCGGAGTGCACGTGCAGGTGCTGGAGCAGCGCCGAGCTCTGCCCGAAGGCCTTGGAGCAGTGGGGACAGGCGTAGGGCCGCTCGCCCGTGTGGATCCGGAGGTGGTGTTGGAGGTTGGAGCTCTGGCCGAAGGCTTTGCCACAATGGGGGCAGCGGTAGGGCCGCTCGGACGTGTGGGTGCGCTGGTGCTGCAGCAAAGCCGAGCTCTGCCCGAACGCCTTGCCACACTGCGGGCACGGGTAGGGCCGCTCGCCCGTGTGGGTGCGCAGATGCTTCAGCAGCGCCGAGCCCTGGCCGAAGCCCTTGGCACACACCGGACACTTGTGGGGCCGTGGACCCCCGTGCGTGCGCAGGTGCTGGGCCAGCAGCGATCCGTGGCCGAAAGCTTTGCCGCACACGGGGCAGTGGTGTGGCTTCTCGCCGCTGTGGCTGCTGCGGTGTTTCAGGAGCGTGGAGCGCCAGCCGAAGGCTTTCCCACACGCCGCGCACTGGTAAGGCCGCGCCCCGGTGTGGATGCCACGGTGCTGGGCCAGCGTGGCGCCGTGGCTGAAGGATTTGCCACAATCGGGACATCGGTAGGGCTTCTCACCGCTGTGGGTGCGACGGTGCTGGCTGAGGCCGGAGCTGCGGCGGAAGGCTCGCCCGCAATCCGGGCAGGAGAAGGGCCGGGGTGGGCTGGCTGGGGCTGGGCGCACAGCAGCGGGGCTGGTGGGCAGGGCCTGCGGGGTGGCATGGAGATCGGAAGAAAGAGGGTTCACGTTTGGAGCGGCGGGGCTGAGGGTCTCGCTGTTGGGGTCGAGAACCAGAGGCACAGGGCCAATGACGTCTGGATCCAGGTCATCACTCGAAGAAGCGGGGTCCAGATCTTGAGGACCTGAGTCTTGGTTCCCCAAGACACAGCCGGAACCTTTCACCTCCCCATCTAGATCCTCAGAGATGGACTCTCGATCTTCAAAGTTGAGATCCACGTCTTCCGAGACAGTATTTAGGTCTTCAGGATCTGGCTCTTGGGCTTCAGAAATACGATCCACATCTTCAGATTTGGGGTTCAGCCCCTTGTGGCCAGGGTTCCTGACCAAGACTGAACGTCTCATGGCCCCGGTGGAACTGCTGGATGTTTCAGGGACAGGATCTACAAAAAAAAAAAGGGGGGGCGGGGACAAGGAGTACTTAGGGGAATGTGGGGGAGAAGGTGCTGGGGAACAGGGAGTCTCCTGGAGTCTAGCAGGGATGGGAGAAGGAACCCCACTGTGTCAGATACACACACACACCATCCACTGCTGGACACACACATACACAAATCTTTCCTTTTCTCTCATCATAAGAGGTCTTTGGCCACACTGGGAAAGGGGGGAGGAGTCATGATGGAGCATGGTGGAGACCCTCTCCCCTCTCAGCCCCCAACCTGAACAGAAGCCTCTGGCCCGGGAATTAGAAGTCTCTGATGCCCAATTCCATGGTTGAGCCCCTCTGTCCATGCTGTGTTCTTCTAGTCGGAAACCTGGGAAGAGAAAGTCTCACTTAAGCTCTGACCCTCATGACTCTGGGATCTCTCCTGGAGAAGAAGGCAGGTATCTCGAGGTCCTGTGTTCCTGGGCCCATGTCTGGAAGTGGAAGATTTGGGGGAACTTTGAGGGCAGCCCAGGGCGGGGTGCTTGTGGCTTGGTTTCTACACAAGTGGTATCCTGGCCTCAGGAATTTACAGAGTCGGGGAGAGGCAGATGATATCTGTGTCATTGTGGGAAGGATGGACAGGGACCCCCCTGCCCGCCCTCCTGAGGGGGAGATGACTGAATTCTAGATCTTTCAGCTAGGCCTATTCCCTAAGCTACAAGATAAAGGTGGAACACTGGGGGTTGCTAGAATCCCTAGAGAGGGCATTTCCTGGGAAAGTGGGGGGAGGGGGGGAATCTTGATCTCAAGAAGCAGGGTATGGCGGCTGTGTTAGCACACTCTTCAACAGAGGGAAAGATTCTAAACTGAATCCAGTCCCCGACATGCTGGGAGCAGTGGTGGAGGACAGACAGGTAGGGAAGTAGAACAGCATAGCTGAACCTTTTCTAGAAACAGAGTGATCAAGATGACTTGGGGAGAGATCTTAGCTGGATTCTTTCTGGGGGTGGGGAGGGGAGCAGGGCCCTCTGATCCTCTTCTGGGGAGGGGGTGTACTACCACAGCTTCATCGTGAGGAGGAGTGGGCATACCAAAGGGGTCGAGTTCCTGGATGGCCTCAACACAGACTCCATAGCTGGAGGCTGAAGGAAACAATAGCTAGAGCTCTCTCCAGAGTTCCTGGGGGGGGGGGCAGGGGAACCCTAGATTGCCTCCAGGGGAAGCAGCTGGGCACAGCATGGGGTTCCCCCACGGACTTGGTGGTGGGCAGGTGGACTCTGTGATTCACCAATTAGAAAGGGGCTTCTAGATCTCTAACCACCACCCTCCATGCTAATGGGGAAAACAATAGATGAATAGCTGGCCCTTTTCCTGAGA